GGATAGTAATAAGAAAAGTCATGCAATAATTTTTTGTTATATATCATAATTATTTAAACCGTAAACATATGACAAAACCTTGATAACCTTCTAATTATACGTATAATGTTTAATTACACATTATTTCAAGTAAAAATATGTAAGCTTGACTTTCTATGATTTGTATTTCTATTTTTTTTTGTTAAATTATATTCAATATTATTTAAATTAATAAAATGTATATTACATTTTCTTTATTTTCTAATCTGATATAATTTGAAAATTTTTATCATTAAATTAAAGTGGTCAATATATATATTAATAAATATACCTAAAAAGTATTACCAAAATTAGTGTGTAAGATATCGAGATTATTGATAAAATTCTTGTTTGACTATTATCTCCTCATTGGTATTAATAAGTTAGAAATAAATTTATCTGTATCAAGTAATATTTCGAAATCCATTTTATGTAAATAAAACAAATTTTTTAAGATGATATTTTATAATTTATAGATTTCACGGTATGTCATTTACGGCCAAACAAAACAATAATAAACGATTCATGGAATTGATGGACGATATTAAGGAAACACAATGGGAAGATGGAACCGATCAGTGGATCGTTAGATTAAATGGTATGAAGAAATTCGGACCACGAGATATTAACCGGTTGATAAAGCGAAATCCAGAAAAGTATCATAATAACGTACACGTTAAAAAATTATTGGAGTTCTTTAGTGATGCTGATAATAATTTACGCCGAACAATGAACACGAGAAGTCCCCTATCGGTGTTATGTCATGGTGACTTCTGTCGAAATAACATCTTGTTCAAGTACAATGACGATAATCGACCAATTGCTACGATTTTATTAGATCATACTAATATTAGGTATGGATCTCTAGCTCTTGACTTGTCATTCTTTTTATTCCTCAATACCGACCGACAGCTTCGTTTAAATCGATGGGACCAGCTATTGGACGTATACTGCGAATCGTTAGCCGCATCAGTTCCTAGTGGAATTAATGTGCCTGACCGCAAAAGTGTGGAGGCTGAAATGTCCAAACACGCAGTGTACGGGTTGTCGTATATATCCTTTTTCTTGCGAACAATGATGAGAGATGAAAATGAATTAGACATGAATACATTTAATCAAAATAACATGGAAGAATGGTTTGAAGGTTTAATGAGTCTTGGTGG